AAATTAATTGAAATAATTAAATTAATTAATTTAAAAACAGAACAAATTGACCCTTAACAGGCAAAAGCTTCAAATTTGAATCTTAAAGAAAAGAAGAAAGAAAATACAAAATAAAATTAAGTTAAATAAAGATAAAACGAAGAAAAAGAAGAGAAAGTGAAATAAAATAAAATGAAATAAATAAAAAATAAAATGAAATAAAACTTGGTGAAGATCCAAAGTAAAGGAGTTCCAAAATGTCCCATAGAAAAATGAAATATAATTTACATGTATTTATATATAATGTATATATATGTATATATAAATATATATGTGTATATATTTATGTATAATATATATTATATATAATATATATATGCAATATATATAAAATATATGATGTGTATAAACATAATATGAAATAAATATGATTTATTTGTACATAATGGTGCAGTGTAATGACAGAAGAAGAAAAAATATGAAACGAAAGATGGCCATTTGAAATGCAAGTTGAAAGCTGTTGAGGGCTGGGGCCTTCTCGTTCAGTTGAGAATTTGCAACAAAAGTTGAATAAACTGTTTTAAATTAATTTTAAATTTATTACTTCATATTTATTTTACTTTTAATCATTTAATATTTATTCTGTTTTGAAGTTCCGGCAAAGGCATTCTGCACGCGGGCGCGGCTGCCGCCGCGCAGCCACTCGAGCGAGCACAACTTCCAGCTCGCGGGAAAACGCCAAGTTTCACGAGAAGACAAGAGATGACTTTTTGTTTCTCCTTTTAATTATTTAAAACATTTAATTAAAACTGATTAGCAACGGCAGAACCGCCGGCGCCGTGCGAGCGCTGCGCACACGGTGTGTATGCGCAGACACCCCGCCACCCTCCAGCTCTCTGCGCGATCCGCCATCATTATTTGTCATTTTTCGTTTCTGAACTCATTAAAAACTCAAAAACATTCAATTCAACTGCAGCCAGCCAATGAGCGACGCAGAAGAAAGCCAGGAACCCCAAGAACCCCCGGGGTTCTTCCGCGGAAGTATGGGCACAGCTGATCTGCTGCTTCAAGCTCTCGAGCAGGACTACCAGCTTACTTGTGCTGCTGGGGCCTCCAAAGGCTCTGAGGGGGCTCTGGGGGGGGCAGCTGACCCCGAGCTGCTGCATGCACTCAGCCCCCCCTCGGAAGCTGCTGCTGCTGCTGCTGCTGCTGCTGCCGCTGCAGCTGCTGCAGGCGACCTCTGGGAGGAGCCCGAAGAAGGCGAACTGCAGTGTACGTACACCGCGCTGCCCGCAGCAGCAGACGCCGCGCAGCCAGCGGGCCCAGAAACCCCAGAAGCTGTTTCGCCCGCACACTGGAGCCAAGTGCAGCAGCAGCAGCAGCAGCAGCAGCAAGAGGGCGGGCGTCACAACAGCAGCAGCAAAAGGACGGACAGCGAGGAAGGTGCGCTTCCTGAGGAAGCAGCAGCAGGAACAGCAGCAGCAGCAGGAACAGCAGCAGCAGCAGCAACTGCTGCTGCTGCGGCAAGCTGCGCCGCGGAGCACCCCTCCCCGAGGTGTCCGTACACCCCGCTGCAGGCCCCGAGGCCCGGCGAAGTTCCTTTAGATGAAAAAACAAAAAGATTAATTTTGCAAATTATGAAGGAGATTTCCATCAAAAACCCTTACGAAGTCTCCACCACGTAAAGCAGCAGCAGCAGCAGCAGCAGCGGCGGCAACAGCAGCAGCGGCAACAGCAGCAGCAGCAACGGCAGCGGCAGCAGCCGCTGCTGCAGTACAGGTGGCGACGCAGAAGCTGCTGCTGCAGCCAGAGCAGAAGCAGCAGCAGCAGCGCCAGCAGCAGCAGCAGCGGCAGCAGCAGCAGCAGCGGCAGCAGCAGCAGCCGCAACAGCAGCAGCAGCGTTTTGCTGGGAAGCCGTCGCGGGGGTGTGGGCCTCCCCGTGTCATTTGTTAATAAAATTAATTTGCAAAAATAAAAAATAAAATAAATGAATTCTTTTCTATTTTTTGTTTTTATAAATTCATTTTGTCTTCTTGAGCTTTCGAAGCTGCAGGCCAGCAGCAGGTCTTAGCTGCTGCTTGCAAAGGCTAGGGTTTAGGGTTTAGGGTTTAGGGTTTAGGGTTTAGAGGGTTAGGAGGCGGCCGCTGCACTGCACTATGTCCCACTGAGATTACCGGGTGCTGCTGCTGCTGTTGCTGCTGCTGCTACTGCTGCTGCTGTTGCTGCTGCTGTTATTGCTGCTGCTGCTGCTGTTATTGCTGCTGCTGCTGCTGCTGTTATTGCTGCTGCTGTTGCTGCTGTTATTGCTACTGCTGCTGTCCCGCTGCCAGTGCTTTTCCTCCTGCTGCCGCTGCTGTTGCTATTCGTGCTACTGCTGCTGCTGCTGTTCCTGCTGCTGCTGCAATTGCTGCTGCTGCTGCTGCTGCTGCCGCTTCAAATCCCTTTTCGTCTGGGGGGAAGGGGGGCCAAATTGGTGCTGCCGGTGGCGCTGCTTCTTGCTGAGAATGTCCGGTGTGTTTGTTTGCTGCTGCTGCTGCTGCTGCTGCTGCTGCTGCGTCTCGCGGGGAGGTGCTTGCGGCTGCTTTCTGGGGTCTCCTTCCCATCGGCTTCCGATGCAGCAGCAGCAGCAGCAGCAGCAGCAGCAGGATCTTCCTTTGCAATTTCCCTCAGGCGGCTGCAAAGAGAGTTCAGCTTTTTGCTGCATGCAAAAAGACAAAAGAAATAAAAATAATTCCAAAAGAAAAAATAGTTGAAAAGCAGAGAACTGAGCAGCAGCAGCAACAGCAGCAGCAGCAGCACGAGCAACTGCAGCAGCAGCAACACCAGCACACGCAGGAGCAGCAGCAGCAGCTGATGCTGCCGCAGCAGACGAAACAGCAACGGCAGACGCACTGGCAGCAGCAGCAACAGAAGAAGCAGTAGCAGCAGCAGCAGCAGCAGCAGCAGCAAATGCATGAGTTGACAACTGCTGCTACCGCTGCTGCGCACCTGCAGCTTTCTGCTGCTGCCCCTTTCTCTGCAATAAATTGACTTACATAAATTAAAACCAATTGATTCAATCTAATTAATTAAATTAAATTAAATTAATTAAATTAAATTAATTAATTTAATTAATTTAATTAGTTTAATTTAATTCTACCGAGTGTCTCTGGCGGCCCGAATTTGGGCCTTTTGTTCCTTCAAGAAATGCTCCAGCATTTGCAGCTCTTCTTTGGCCTGAAATTAAAAATAAAATAAAATAAATCAAATTAAATTAATTACATCAAATTAATTAAATTAAATTAATTAAATTAATTTAAATTAATTATTAATTATTATTCAAATTATAAATATTTGTAATGTTTTCAAATATATATTTAGCGTCTGCGCAGCAGCAGCAGCAGCAGCAGCAGCAGCAGCAACAGCGGCTGCAGCAGCAGCAGCAGCGGCTGCAGCAGCAGCAGCAGCGGCTGCAGCAGCAGCTGCGGCAGTGATAGAAGCAACCGTTCTGCAGTAGTGCAGCACTGCAACAGCAGCAAGAACGCTTGCGTCAGCAGCAGCACCCCAGCAGCAGCACCAGCACCAGCAACGCCACCGGCCCAAACAGCAGCAGCAGCAGCAGCAGCAGTAGCAACAGCTGCTGCAGCAGCTGCAGCAGCAGCAGCAGCTGCACGTACTGCTCTTATCTGCAGCACCAAGTTGGGCTGCATCTTGAATTCTGCTGCTGCACTTTCTTGAGAAGGCGAGGGAGATGCACTGCAGCAGCAGCAGCAGCAGCAGCAGCCGCAACAAAGTCCGCATGCGCTGTATGCAGCTGTACAGACACCTGAAGCTGCAGCAGCAGCAGCAGCAGCAGAAGCAACAACAGCAGCAGAAGCAGCAGCAGAAGCAGCAGCAGCAGCAGCAGAAGCAGCAGCAGGAGCAGCAGCAGGAGCAGCAGAAGCAGCAGCAGCAGCAGCAGCTAGTGTAGCAGCAAAATTCTCTAGTTGAGGGAAAAGCCATCGGGGGATCTGTACGACGCACCCCACAGCTTCATC